AAAAAAAAAAAGAGAAAAGACCATTCCAGATGGCAACCCCCACCCCCATGTTCACAAAAGGAGCTTGAATCACTATCACACTAAAATAATACTGAATATAAAAAAACCAATCTCAATCGTGTTTTATCTACATTAATACATGTTGTACTCTTCATAAAAACTTTTGGATGTTCTGAATTTAAAGTGATGCAAGTCAAATCCTAAATAGAATAATACTCTAAACACTAAGGAATTTTTTAATGTATCTTGCACTGTGTCAACTCTAGAAGAAAGTTTGGTGCCACAAAAATAACATATAGTACTGAAATATAATTTAGAAAAATATGTGAGGAGAATCTGAATACTTAGTTAATAGTCTAAAAATTTGAGTACACAAGTAATGCATTTTTTTATATTTCTGTGGTTTTATGATTATATTTTTTCATTTAAAAAGTAACACCTGGAAAAACCTGTGTTCACACTATAGCACATACTAGGCATTCAAAAATATATGAAATGTTAGTGTACTCTACAGAAAATCTTCATTGGCTCTTTCTAGCTGGTCTTTCTGGTTTATGGCGTCTAAAGTTGCTTCTTAGGAAGGGGAACTGCCTACTCTTTTGCAGTAAAGTCTCAGAAAGACTTGGTTTTATTTCTACTTAGTGGCATTTTGCTGGACTGGTTTCAAAAGGAAACCCATTTGTTAAGTATTAAATTATTGATTTTTGTTTTTGTTCTGAAGGGAGTGGGTGGGGTGTTGTTTTAATTTCCCCCTCATTAATTCATTTATGAGTGCATCATAAAACCACTGTCTTACTTACCAAATAGATGGATAGGAGCCTGTACCACCATTCACTTAAGTGTTGGACTCAATGATCTTTGTGGGTCCCTTCCGACTTGGAATATTCTGTGATTTTGTGATAGTACTTCAGTAAATAGGGTGTTTTCTTTAGTCCATGGTTTTGTCTTTTGCTGAAAAGATGGGGAGAACTAGTATAAGTCATATCCCTGTATTTTTTTATTTTTTTTTTGTTTTTTTCAATTCCAACGTAGAAATGGAGGAAAGTAGAAGTAGTAGCATTCTAGAGAGAAGAGCTCCTGTTGTAGAATTTTTGCTTGTGCTTTTCAATTATTTGAAGGGATTTCAAGAACTGGATCCTGAGTTTTTTTTGTAAAGCTTTTGATTTGGTTAAGCTTTTGCCTCTGTCCTGATGAGTATGTGTATCTTGATGCAAAAAACATGCACTTAAATTTTTGTACAGTCCTAGTTTCACATTGAAATGTCACAATTGACTGCCATGCTTGTTACACTAAGTTCTAAATTTTGCCGTAAGAAATTGTATTTGGGAAATTTATTTCCTTTTACACTGAATTTCAGGCAAAATAAAATATTTTAAGAACCTTTTTATCCAGTGCTCCGAATGAGCTGTTCTAATTCACTGAATTATTTACAAGCTTTCCTACTTTTTAAATTAATTTAGTACATTTGAAGGGTGCCAAATTGATGTGGAGATTTTTTGTGTGTTGTCTTACAGAACAGGTACAGCACAGGAAAACACTGTCCATGCTCCATAAAGTGTGTGACATGCTTTTCTGCTCAAACCTGCCTTTTCATTGCAGTCACTCAACAGAAGCTAACAGCAACTATAAGTGTATTTTTTACATGGATGCTTCTTACAAACCATCTGAAATTGCTGTATCATATAATTTGAAAACTTGGGTTCCAAGTTTGCCTGCTTGTTTTGAATTCAGCCTGGTAATGCATCCGTCCAAGATTCATTTGATTGAAACTTTGCATCCTGCAAAGGAGGCAACCTTTTAAAATTCTTTATTATCACCTTCCTTCTGCAAAATTCCTACTGGTGTGTATTTTATTCCCTGCTATTACCTTGTGACATTCTGAATGGTTGAAAAACACCTGCATCAGAATGGCTTGGTTTATTCTCACTTTAAAACCAACCTCAGTCAAAACCAATCTCTGGTTGTATGTCATTCAACATAAGCAAACAGTGTCCCAGTTTCAGTCTGAATGGATTCAATACAGATTTCTGTCATTATCAAATTATTTTCTTCATATGATTTCTTGTTGGCTTGCTCTGTCTTCCTTGTCTAGCTCTGCTCTCCATCTTTTTGCTACTACCTTAGCCAATGCTTGTCCCTGCAATTCAGTCAGATCCTTATTAACATAGCTTACAGTGAAATCTTTTGTCATCTGGAGCAGCATTCTTGTTTCAGTCAACCAAACATCCTGCTGGCTTGGTTTTCCTCCAGACAGCTTTTCAAAATTTCCATGGAATAAAAGGTAACATTTAAGAAGGTATTTTATTTTCTACTTGGATGTTAAAGGACATGAAGATGTTAGCTGACATGCTGTTCAATGGCAATACTGTTTAAAACTACATTTGGTTCGACTACAAAACATTTGAAGTAAAGAGAATCAGTAATTCAGATTATATTACTATCTCTACAAAACAGTAAATTAACCAGAATGTCTCTTTTAAGGCAATGCTTATGGCCAGTACTATTCATATTTTTCCTTCTCTTAAGACCCGTCATACACTACAGTTGTACAAATGCACAAAGTAATATAAAGGGGTAGAGACTTTCAGTGAAACACCTCATTTTCTCTAATTCAGCTTTAGTTTTTTTTATGTTGCAACTAATGAAGATATAGTCAGATTTAATCCTACATTACTTATCTTTTATTACAACTAAGACAGTAAGTTACAATGAAAAAAAAAATTTAGAACAACTGGAGCAAATAACAGAAATTTGAGGGGTTTCTGGGAAACCAAGTGAAATTTGAAAAAATGTTATTCATCATATTGTCCTGAGTGGAGTTGTATCTTACTGTATTGGTGTTACAGCACTTAGTTACTTTAAAATTAATCTGTTAAGTCAGACAAAGTAAAAGTTCTTGATCAAGATAAAAGAAGAAAGCTTCATCTTTTTCAAATGAGCCAATATAGCTGTAAACTTATCCTTGGGGAAGATGGACCTTTAGTTTTTGTGGACTCTGTAAAGAGGTCATTGTAGACCTTTATAAATGCACTAGTGTGTTTGTTACACAGGTACCTAAATACTGCAGTCTTACAAAATAATTTTTTAAATTTAAATATGCCTCTGCATGTTTTAATCTGAACCATATTTTAACTTGGAGTATATAAAAAATACAACAAAAATAGATTCCAGTGATTCCAGTCTTTATTTGAATTCTCTTGAAATCTAATGGGAGCTCTGATGAGAAGGATTTCAAGAACATACCCCCTATACCACACATACCATCTAATTTTCCTAATAGATAGTTATTTTTTAAATCCTTCTATATGTGTTAATGCTAAAACATATCTGAATAATTGTACTTTGTTGTTGGTTTGAGTGAAGATTAACATTTTTTTCTTCTTCTTGCAGTAACCTTGTAATCCTGAGACCAGTTGATGTCTTTGAAACTCGCCTCATCTGACCCTCTGGTATAGTGTAGTAATTTTTATATTGTAGTTTTAATTCTTGAATTCCAATATTATTCCTGATTTGTTAGCAGAACAGATTAATTTCGTTTCTCACCTCTCTTTGCCAAAGACTGGAATACTATATTTAGCAAATCTGTCTGGTCTAGTTGATGAACTGGATTTTAATATTTCCTTATTAGCAAATAGAAGAAAAAATTTTGAGACATATACTCTTCAAAATTCATTTTTCTGAAAAACATCTACAGTAGACCTGTTTGTTTCATTTTGACCTCTTGGGTGCAGAGAGGATAGAATAGCCTTTTTACTCTTTTACACTATTTTATTTTTCTGTAGTGCAGATGCACATAAAATTTTTATGTAGTAACTTGATGGTTAAAATTTTTCTTTAAAAAATCAAATCTTCTAATATCATCTAGTGTGTACTCTTTACCTGCAAAGACAAGGGAGAAAAGTAATTATGTTAGAGTTCCTCCTGACAAGCTGAGATTATTGGAAATCAGAAATGTTGTTTACAGGCCCCAAAACTTGAACAGTACAGATGTTCTTTTCCTAGTTGCTGAGGACTGACTTCCATTTCTTAAACCTAGTGCTCTTTTAAATACAAAAGGAAAAGAAATACTAACTTTCAAAAATGTTTATGTGATAATCTGCAGCCAGACAGGATATGTCCCAGCTCTAAGGTGTATAAACTCTTCTCTAACCAATAATTTGCTCTCTAAGGAAATGTCAAAAGTTTCTTAGCTTTTAAAGATCATAATTTATTCTTTGTCTTGCACAAAATTTTGTGCAGTAAAGATACTTGAGCCAAAGAGAAAAGATTTCACAGAAATGTGTGTTGATCTATGCATATCCTTTTGCTAAAGTCACGTGCATGTATAGTGTGGCTGAGATCTCCTGAAGCACAGAAATACCTTTAGGTTAAAGCCTTTCATTTTTATAGAGCTTTCCAGTTCTGCAGAGCTCTGCTGCATAAGAGAAGTGTCCTTTCCATTAAAGTACCTTGTTTTAACACGAAGAAATGGTCTTCCTCTCATTTGCAAACTGTCCTTTCTCTGCCTAAAAACAAAACAGAACAAAACAAAACAAACTACCACAAAACAAAAGAAACCAAAAACCACTTCTGATTTCATGTGTGGGTTTTTTGGGAGTTTTTTTGGGTTTGTTTTCTCGAGAAAAGCCTTGTATTTTCTCTTTCAGCTACCAGAGGGCACTATGGCTACACAAGTGAAACAAAAGCTGTGAAGTGCTCCCATTTTAATGCTTCAGTGATATTTCTCCTGTTTCAGTTCTCATGCTAATATTTGCATTTCTTGCAAAAACCTGTATACATCCCTACTATGTCAGCAGAAATCCTGTGTGTGTGAACTGAAACAAAGTATCTCTCTGGATTTAGGTACCAGT